CTGCCTCCGGGAGGTGGTAGTGGGGCAGAGCCCATGCCACCCGCTCTGTTGGGCAGCTCTATTGTGAACGTTGATTTGTTTTCCAAAGATTTATGTAACCTTCATTATTTCTTGTGCCTACTTATGTCCATTTCTGATGCTGGTGGTATTAAACAATATTGATACATGTACAGTTCAAGAAAAATATACTCCTCTATCCCAAAATGTAAGACCTTTTTACACTATTATAGTGTCAATCCTAGAATGTAAGACCTTTTTCACTACTATAGTGTTAAAAAGCATCTTACATTTTGGGAATGAGGGAGTACTATATAGTGTTGTGCTGATGAATGTGCAAGGTGGGGGAAAGGAAAATTCCATTTGCCGTTAGGCCGACTACTCATCTCTACTGAATTTTTACCTATGAGCTAGATGATAATGTATGCACATCTAAAATCGTTGTCGCTTTTCTCCCTTTTCACCTATGTATGAACTATCAGCATACTATCATTATTTAAGGCTTTGAATGAATGTACATACATATGAGATAGTGGCATTGAATTGAATTATATGTTTTATCAAATTGTGAGTTCGGTGTCATATGTCATTATCATTCTTTTTAAGTTGTGAGTTGGACACAAATGAGTACATCTCTGAGAAATTATCCTTTGTCTGATCTACAGAATAAGCAGGTTCAATCAATAACAGAGAAGATAAGGTTGGGATTCAGGGTTATCATGACGAGCTTAGGAGCGCAATTGGAGTGTCAAGGTTGCCCCACATTTTATCTAAGAAAGACGTAGATGATATGTATATTATTTAGCCTTATGGATAGGTTGCTTGTAGATTATCAAATTCAGTTGTCACTCCTTACAAAAAAAATCTCAGTTAGCACTTTGAAACTGACAGCGCCATAGTCGGAAGGAGAGAAAACCAAGGAAAGCGTTGCAAAATCTTTTTGTTTGGGGTCTTCTATGTTGTATGGCGGAGCCAGCTGTATGGCTTGTATCATCCCTATATTTCCGTATTTGCACGTGTGCTTTTTGTGGTAATTGAAGGGCATTATTTAGATAAAAGAGCTCTGGCACGATCAGCCATCAGGTTGGTAACCAAAAAACTCAGAGGGGACTCCATCCAACAATCAGACACCTCCCGAGTGCATGCATGCATGGTGTGCACATAGGCGGGCTGGAAAGTTAGAGTGTCTCATTACATGTTGAATCAACAAGGAATTAAAACTAAAAGTTAACCCTTCAATGTCTAACAAAACTGGCGCTATGACCAAGCGTCAAGAACGGCGCAAGTTCCAGAGATTAACCACCACTAAACTATCTGTTTCAATGAATACTCGTGCAAAGCCCCGTTGTTGAGCAAATACCACATCTTCACGAATCACCATTACCTTAGGATCGGTGACACCCAAGCATGGCTTGCTCTAGGCTCCGAGAAAAATAGTGGAGGATCAAGCTACTCCTCCCATACCTCCCATATGTGCCTCAGAAGAAATACCAGCATCGATATTAATTTTTGTCCACTCGGCCTCAGGTGGTCGCTACCCATGTACAGGTAAGATCTTAGAGTTTGAAATAGGAATATCAAGTAGCACAAGCATTTTCCTGGTCATCTTCATGGAATGGGCTTGATCCATACTAGCTTTATCATGAGTAGTATTTTTTCGAGATGTCCAAATCGACCACATCATTGTTATGATCTTTGCCCGATCTAAATCATCATATCACATGTTACAAAGAATGTCTATAGACCAGGTAGTGGGATGGAGTTCAGGCAACTTAATCTCAAGCCACTCCCTCGCCTCCATCCAATATCGCTTCGCATGATTGCACTTGGCAAATGCATGCATCAGATCCTCATCTACAATAAGACAGATTTTGCACCGAGCCAAAGTAGCAATGTGTCTGTGTTTTTAGAATGCCTTGAACTTGTAGAATACCACATAGCACCTGCCACCAGAACACATGTACCTTGGGTACAACTTTGATCTTCCATAGATGTGTCCACAACTATTTTTTTTAGCGGAAGTTTTTGTCATCATCCCTTCTTCTAGAGCTGTATGCTCACTTTGAATCACTAGAGAACAATATCAGAACTTTGCAGAATTTCCGTATTTGTACGTGTGCTATCTAGGTTGTCTTATTGTTTTTAGACTCATATAAATACAAGTAGACCATAGCATTGTTGCTTTTATGTGGAACTCAGAGCATTGTTGTTGGGCTCCCGCGCCAGGACCCACATCAAGTGAGTGCTCCCAGCGGCGTCGCCTCGATCTCCCTTCTCCGACTAGCTCTACAGCTGCCCAGGCCAGATCCGAAGTCCCCTAGTTGCCCTCTCTCTTCTGCAAGGATTGGCTCTTCGTCAAGCATTGGAAGTGATGGCACTCTCGCATCCACATAAGTGGCGGCTGGGCGTGCACCACCATCGCCTGGATCTCTAGCCTCCATCCTCCATTGCGGCCACCATTACTAGATCCGGGTGCCCCCCAGAGCCCTCTCCCACACCTGTCTCAGCGACACCCCTTTTCCTAGTTCACCCAGCAATGCTGCTCGCGTGATCCTTCACGGCGGCCGCCACTGCAGTGGCGTCTCCCGCTCCTGCACCCTTGTCCTTTCACCATCTGTGTTGTGCGCTCTGGCTGCTGGCTCCATCCTGATTGTTGGCGTTCTCCCTCACCCGCGACCACTGCCCCCAGTTTGCAGTTTCAGTAGATAGGATGGGGTGTGAAGGCCATGTGCATGCCCAGTTCCGAGCCTGTGTCGACAACTGCTTTAGCCACGACGCCTGTCGCCCCTGTCCCATTGTCAGTGCCGCCTCGGGTGTGTTGCAGCTAGCCCCAGTTGCCTCGGGCATTAGGGACGGCATGGGTTGTGAAGAGGAAGTGGCTGTGATGCTGCCACCATGAGCGGTGTTGTGGGCCTCCGCTGCTAACGACAATGAAGAAGATGGCGAGGAGGAGCTGGCTCCCCAGATAGCGTCGGCGTCCACCAAGGGCCCTTGACTCTGGAGGGATGTGTGTGGGGCATAACACGGACACACAATGAGGGTTGGCGGGAGGTGCTACTGTGGTGCGACCCGTGTTGTATGACTTCATCACCATCCTCATTTGGCTCTGCGGTAGATGCTATAGATGCCTTGTTCATGGGCATCATGCGTCTATTTGCAAAGATCCGTTGTGGTGCTCCCGTTGTTTGGAAAATGATCACCATGCACGCAGATGCTGTAACCCATGGCGTCCTCTAATCTCACTGACATGCCTTGATGTGCCACCCATGTCTCGCCTCGGCGTTGTGCATCGTCTTTGCTCTTGCTCTATGCAAGGGTTTGATGAGATCCGCATTGCCCTCCAAGGCACTTTGCCGCGGGTGTTGGGCGTGTGTTGTCTCTACAGTCCGCTCTAGCTGGTCAGACTGTGTTGATGCAAGGCTGTCTGGCGTGTGTTGGGAGCTTTTTGGAGCGAGCGGAGGCTACTTTGAGTAGACTCTTCCTTGTGTCGACTATGTTGCAGACCTCTATGTCGTTGCATTCTCTCTGTGCGGTCGGTGTTTGCTCCCCAGAGGATAGGGTGGAGTTATATGGCTCTTTCTCCCGTCGTGTTGGAGACAATTCATTGTCGACGCCTACCTCCCCTCCTACGTTGCCTTCCACTGAGGGCGAGTCCATCGCCATGCTCGTGGCTCCGGTGATGCAGATCATGTCCAGGCTTAGGGAGTTGTGTTTGAGTCTATCAGTGGAGCATATGAAGGTGGACACGCTAGCGACCTCGAGTAAGGGACAAGATTCTCCTGCCAAGTGAGCAGCTAGAGGTTCCTATGATTGATGATGCAAAAGGGAACCGCGTTTTTGTGATGGATATTAATCACTTTCTTGCATTGTGACGTGGCTTTGGCTTACGAGTCGTCGTTGTCGGTTTTCTTGTCCGAGGTTCCGCGTTGTAGAAGTGTTGATGGTTGTGGTTGTGTGTTGGGAGCATTTGGTGAGGCGCCTACGTGGTCGTGGTGTTTCTTGTTGAGTGAATTTGTTTGCATCGGTTTTCGTCTGGTTTTTTATATATTAACCTGGCAATTCTTTTTTTCCGAATTAACCAACGAGGTGATCCTTTTGCCAACGTTTTTTGGGGGAAAAATAGCCGGTAACGCATGGCTACTAAGGATGGCAATTTTATCCATGGACATGGATATCCATGGATATCCGACCCGAATGGATAGGGTTTGGATATGCTTTTGTGTCCATGGACGGTGCCCAAACCCGGCCCGATTGTTTATGGGTAGGGCATGGATATAATCTTGTACCCATGGATATACCCAAACCCGACCCGATAGTATGACTCAATGGGAAAAAATCTGCTATCCCTGCCCCACGTTCACATGTCCCACGATAATTTTACATTTTTTTTATCAAAAACATGCATAAGAAATTACACAATCCCCATCGTAACTTTTATAAGTTGGCAGTCAATCCCCTCCGTAACATACTCCAACACCCTTTTCCTTATTTTTATCTCCTTGTTAAATGACTCGTCATTCTCATCTGTTAGAAAAATACTAAATGATCTTAGGTTGTTACTGGATGTTGATTAACCATAAGTGAAGTATAGCCTGCCACGAGGTGAAGAATGGAAGTGTTTATGTTAATATTGTGTTAAGTCTTATTCATATGTCTCGAGAGGACCCAATGGATATCCAGTGGATATGGATATCCATCGGATTTGGACATGGGCACAATTTTTCACCCATGAATTTTTTTATGGGCGTGCAAAAACTGTCTTCATACATATGGATATGGATTTGATATTGTTCAACCCGATCCAAACCCGAGCCATTGCCATCCTTAATGGCTACACGGGTGTACGGTTTGAGGGGTAAAAAGTCGGCCGGGGAAGAGCAGGAATGTTAACCCGCACGAGTATACCTGGATAACGGTAGTCGTCGTTTGTCCAGTTCCCACCTCAACCAGCAAACAAAGTCAGCGCAGGGGGAGACGCCGCCGTGCCGCTCCCCGCGGCCGCCATGGAGCCGCGCGAGATCGCCGCCGCCGCGCGAAGCTTCTCGGCGATGGCGCGGATCGTCGGCCCGGTCAGTACCCACCCCCTGCCCTCTTCATCTTCCTCTTCCTCAACCCGTACCAGCGTCTCCCGAGCTTTCCCGCTAAGCGCCACGCTCCCCTCCGCTTCCTCCAGGACCCCAAGGCAGTCAAGATGCGCCGCCACGCCTTCCACCTCCACCAGTACGGCGCCCGCTCCCCTCCCTCCTCCCGATTCCTCAATTTCCTCGCCGGATTCGAGCCTAATCGTGTGACCTGCCTTGGTTTGGTTCCAGGTCGGGGTCCACCACGCTGTCGGCGTCGGCCGTCCTCCTGCCGCCGGGCGCCCTGGCGGAGCCTTTGCCGCCGCTTCTAGCCCGTATATGCGCGTCCCACGGCCACGCCGGGGGCGTCGCGCTCACGGCCGCGTCGCTCGTCGAGGCGTTCCTGGTCGCGGAGCAGCGCGATAGCCCCAGCGAGGTTGGTTGCGACCGTCTCGTGCTCACACATGTCTAGTTGAGGTGATTCTGGCGCTGAGGTGCTCGTTGCTTGATGGAATGCCTGCAGGTACTGCAGCCGAGGTTAATACCAGAGGCGCGTCTCGATGTGCTAGTTGAGGTGAGGAACATTACCAAAGACCTTGTGTTTTTGTTGTACAATAGTATTGTATTGTGCTAATTATTCACACTTGCATCCCACAGTCCGTAATCTATTCAGTCCCCCTTGAAAAAGAAAGAAATATGTGAATTCATATTGATGAAATTCTGCCAAGCTGTCAAAGTGTCAATCGCCACTTAAGAGCAAAACTAATGCAGATACTTAGATTGGTGCATATTTTGGGGGATAATTAAGACTTCAGACCAATGGGACAGTATTGCAGTGGGCTGTAGGATTAGCGGATCAATCGATCAAATTAAATATCCGGTGCTTAATTCTGTGTGTTGAAGAACTGCACAGAGAATATCCATCCTGAAAGAGTTAGGAAGATTTTCCTGAAATCCTGAACTTTTCCTGGCATATGCAGCCTGAGGAATCAGGGGACATCAGACATGGAGATTCTGGAGCTCCCCAGTGGCTTTCAGCTGAGTTACTTGCCATGGTGAGTGTTTCTTTTCCCTATGAAAACATATACTCGTTACTAGTATTACTTTGTTGTTTACCCAGATTCTAGTGTAGTTGGGACTTTTGCCATGAGGCAACTTAAAACTCTGTAAATATTTGTTTCGTGCTATAAAAATGGGAAGTGCGCCTGCCATTTTTCACTGAAAGAAAGTGCTACTTGGTAATAGGAAAGGCGTACAAAGTGGGCATACATAATTACAAAAAGAGGCAATAACTGTTTTTAAGTTCTTTGGATTCAGAGGATGTTCTTTGAGCTCAGAAAGAGTAATTATGAACTTAGACTTCATATTTATAATCAGAACTGCGTTTCTTTTCTTTAATATTTTACGTGGTTCTATATATTTATATATAGCATTAGATGGAAAATATGATTCATCATCAGCTCAGCACCTCAGTTTTCCCTTTTAGGTTGATGTCCCAGCGTCGGCTGATTCTGTGTTATCCTTGTTAACATATGATGGTTCACTGATTGGAAGCTCGTCATGGGATGTTGGCTGGCCACTGGCCGATGTAAATCAGAAGCAGGTTATCTATTCATCAAGCTAAACTTGCCTGCCCTGATTTATAGCGATGGAAGATTTACTGTTATCAGCCATTATCAGGTTGAAAATGATGCCGGATCCTTCCTTGAGTACAATAGGAAGAATTTATATGCTGAGTCTGCTGACCCATCAACAATAGCCAAGTCTGCCACAAGAATCGCTGTACTAGGAGTCTCAGCCTTAACATCGAGTGTAAGGTTCATTATGATGCTGTTTCATTTCACTGATCTTTAGCGTCTCAAGAATTACAAGGTGCACTTAGTTTTTATTGAGTTGATGATCTTGGTCAATGATATCAGAATGCAGGACATATCAACGTTCCACCGATTCCACAGCGAGGGGACTCTTTGCTGGTAGTGGGGTCTCCCTTTGGCATCCTGTCACCATTCCATTTCTTCAACAGGTAATTTTTATCTCTACTGCTTGAATTCAGTATTAAGCATATGCACCTAGTGTGTTTGTATATTAAGCTTCAAACAGTTGAAAATATTCATCAGTGTAATATTATGTTTCAAACAGTTGAAAACTTGATGCCATTACATATCTGTTATGGAGATAATACTAAACTCTAAAGTGTTGCTCTTTAATTTTTCTTTGCACGTCCTCACTGAAGCTAAAAAGCAGGGATAGTCTAATTCTGTTTGAGGCATGTCTAGAAACCGTGAAGGCTTATTCATTGTCAATTAACTGTTCTAGTTTCTGCCATTCGAAAGACATACTCCCTCCGTAAAGAAATATAAGAGTGTTTAGATCACTAAAGTAGTAGTGATCTAAACGCTCTTATTTTTCTTTACAGAGAGTACATGCTATTATCCACTTTATTATGTCACATTTATTCTAAAACAAAGAGGCATTCTCATATTAATCCATAATATTAATGTTATTATTTAAGCAGTATATCAGTTGGTGCTGTTGCAAATTGCCTACCTCCAGGTGCTGTCAGGAGCTCGCTGCTGATGGCTGACATCCACTGTCTTCCTGGTATAGACATCACTATCTCTGTTAGGATATATACTACTGCCTCCGTTCCAAAATAAGCGTCGTGATTTTAGTTCTTGAACTAAAACCACGACACTTATTTTGGAACGGAGGGAGTATGAGTCAGCTGTTAATAATTTTTCAAATATTTTAAGGTATGGAAGGTGCTCCAGTGTTTGATAAAAATGCTTGTCTTGTGGGGATGCTGATGAAGCCATTAAGACAGAGAGGCAGCAACATACAAGTTCAGGTGAGTTTACTGGTGTCAGTGGTATACTTATGCACATGGAATGATGGAAGAGATATGTGAACTTAAGTATCTGCATGACAGCTTGTGATTACATGGGATGGAATATGCACTGCATGGAGCAGAAACAAACTGGAGCAAATTGAGCAAGCCTCAAATGAACTACTTGATGACAAAAGTGCAGACAGTAAAACGATGGAATCATGTGGCATGGATAACCATAGGAGGTTTGTCTCTAATTTAGCCAATGACCTTAGTCAGTATAGCATTCCACCTTCACTCAGAGAGGCTATATCCTCGGTTGTTCTTGTCACGGTTGGTGATACAACTTGGGCTTCAGGTATTCTCCTCAACAAGAATGGCTTAGTTCTGACAAATGCTCATCTTTTGGAGCCTTGGAGATTTGGGAGAACTTCACCTTTAGGTTTACAACATAAAACCACCTCACTTGCTGGAGAATATCTCCATGGAGAAAATAAATTGTTGCAGTCACAGCATTGCAAGATGTCCAATGAAGATGCTGTTAAGCATGAGGTTTCATTCTTTAATTTGGGTTCCAAGAGAGAGAAGAGAATATCTGTTCGTTTGGATGATGGGGAGAAACAGACGTGGTGTAGTGCTAGTGTGGTGTTTATCTCCAAGGGGCCGCTTGATGTTGCCTTGCTTCAAATGGAAAAGATCGCGATTGAATTTTGTGCAATTAGACCAGAATTTGTTTGTCCGACAGCAGGGTCGTCTGCATATGTTGTTGGGCATGGTCTTCTTGGACCTCGATCAGGTAATAAGCCTTAGAACCATAGTTTCCAAAATAGTTCCTGCAGCAGATTGATGCTTAATTTATGACATGTACGTTAACTGTTTTATTTTAATATAACTTTGCTATTTGGGTATTTGGCTGTAGGTCTATGTTCCTCGCTTTCCTCTGGGGTTGTCTCGAAAGTTGTCCAAATTCCATCAGCTCAACATTCTCATCTGCCTAGCAATGTGCAGACAGACAATATGGACCTGCCAGTAATGCTGCAGACAACAGCGGCAGTTCATCCTGGATCTAGTGGTGGTGTAATTGTCAATTCACATGGTCGAATGGTTGGACTTATAACAAGGTATGCACAAACATTGTAACAGTATTAGTGGACACCACGTCACCACTGTCAAATTGCATGCGGTTTGTATCAGTATTACCCATTCTTTTGGTGGATTTGTACTATTCCGGAACTAGCTTTGCTGTCTTGGTGTTTTCCTGCTTCGCCTATACAGTGACCCACTTCCCTTTGTCCTTCATTCTGGGGACCGTAAGACTGTCTTTGCAGTCACCTTAATTTTCTAGATTCTAGCAAAGGCCCAGCATACTCGTTTCCATGCACTTATTTCTTCTGTTACCATATGCAGCAATGCTAAGCATGGCGGTGGGAGCACAATACCTCGTCTGAATTTTAGCATCCCCTGCAAATCTCTGGAAATGGTCTTCAAGTATGCAGGTGCTTGTTCAAATCATGTTCTTTTTTGTCATCTGAGCCTTCCAGGGTATATAGGAGTTTTTTGTCAACCTTCTCCCCTTTTGTACAGCGAATGGAGATTACACAATTTTGGAGCAGCTGGATAAACCAAATGAATTGCTCTCATCAGTGTGGGCACTGGCACAAGCACCATCATCTCTCCCATTTCTCAGTAGCCCCCCTGGGAAGAGCGGAGAGGGGAAAGTTTCGGAGTTCTCAAAGTTTCTCGCCAATCAGAAAGAAGGTTTGACATCTATAAGTGATTTGGAGGCTTTCCTTAAACACAAGATTCCTAGTAAAATTTAGATGGGATTATTTCTGCAAAGCACAAATGGATAGTACTAGTACCCTGAATACATAGGAGTACAGAAGAGGAAAAGAATGAAAAACTAAGGATTCGGGTAGCCTGAGCACCAAAATGGCAGGCTCTAATTTGGCGAAGTTCAGGTAACCTGAACACTGAAAGTTCTACAAGATTTGGCCTGCCGCTACAAGTCCTTCAAAGCATACTCGCAGATTGAGATTGCTAACCAGGCCTGTCGCTAATGAATGAGCTTTTCTCCCCAAAAGATGCATGTTGATTCATGTATAGTTTGTTTCCAAGTAGAAGGGTGTTACAATAGCGTGTTGAATTTGATTTGAGATAGTGGACATATCTTCAGGAAGTGTATGAGGATACTGGAAGCAGTACAGGTTGTACTAACTGAAAAGATAATCTTCTACCATTTGCGCGTGAGTTGTACTACCAATGCCTTTTCAGTGACTGCAGTTAGTCTGAAACCATCGTCATGTTTTCTGATTCATTTACCCTTTGAATTCATAATGAAAATCAATCTGGGTTTGTCCTCAGAACCAATCTGGGATTTTGATATCCTACTACCACACATTTCCTCGCGCTATCGTAGTGATAAAAATGATGCGCACGAAACAAACGTTATACAGTGTGTTTTTTTTTTGCGAAATAACGTTATACAGTGTTTGTTTAGCATCCATGTGCTGTTTGCACTTATGCACTGTGAACAACACGTCCTCTTATCATACGCTGGATAGTGATGTAAGACTGAGCTTCAGTGCCGTAACTGCAGGTGCAGTTGGGTCAGTGACATGTGGGCTCAGAAGCAGCAGTTAGGCATCACGCCTCCAAAGGGGCATTGAAAACAATGAACAGTGTAGCTTGACAATACCGAAGTAATCCTACCAAAATGGTTCAAATGTTAAGGCCAAAACATTCTCCTCCTGTAGGGGCAAAAATCCTTCACCAGTCGGGAAAATAAGGTCAATCTGCTTTTACAATGTAAGAAGAAGAAAAAGAATATGCATAAATCTATGCTCTTGTTCCCTGAAGGCACGCCCATCCATCCATTTCAGATACAGATACGTTGTCCAAGTACCTGGAGTAAGCCTTCTCAATCTTCGGAACCTATATTAGACGAGATATAACTGGTGAGGTACCAAGAGAAGCATCGTAACCAAGAAACAAAACTCTGAATGCCATGTTAAATTTTGGAAATAGTCAAATTCCTTTTACCTGCTCACACAATATCCCTGAAACAGCAACTGTTCCACCGGTTTTCGCAAATCCGACTATGTCCTCGACCAGCTCCAGCAAGGGGTTCAGCAGTATATTTGCAGCAACAATGTCATACGTCCCCTTTGAGGACTTCAGCTCAAGGTTACTGCCGGGCTTTTCCTCTTCTGATTTGTCGATGCTACTTGAGAAGCATGAAGGCTCGGCGCCTGTCGGTACCAAGTGAACCAGCATTCTGCCAGAATCCATACCATTCAGCAGCATGTTCTCACGAGCGGAGCTCACTGCTTGAGGGTCTATGTCTATACCAGTGGATAGAGCAGCACCAATCTGCATTTGTAGTGTAAGCCAACAATGAGAGCATGAAATTGCTGATGTCTTTTCCTGAAAAATATTTGCTGGTAGTAAACAAGAACAGTTTTTAACATTGCACCTTCAGAGCTGCAATACCCAACACCCCGGTGCCTGTTCCATAGTCCAAGACACGCTCGCCCCCCTTAATAGCTTCTCTCAGAAAAAGAAGGCACAATTTAGTCGTCGGATGCTCCCCAGTTCCAAAAGCCAGGCCTGGATTGATAATGATATTTGTTGCCTGTGGATCCTGTGGATGGAGGGAGATGGGCATGGCACATGACAAAGTAACTCTCAGTTCAAGCACCCAAGTAGACGAAGATAAACGAAAACAACACTTATCTATAAACAAAGAAATTAAAAGGAAAAGAGCAGCAGACATACAGGGGGAGTTTTCCATTTAGGAATAATCCAAAGGCCATCGATAACTTTCGTGGACTCGTACGTTTCCTGCAGACATAGCAGTAATTTTTTCAAGCATCTGCATGGCACAGTACGTTTCCTATATCCTTGCATTCATGCGCCAGAATTTGAGGGCAAAAGTTACGGCAATGGACTTCTCATTCCCAGAGACAATATCTAGACCCTAAGAAGTAGTACAAAGTAGTAGCAACCTGCACAAGTGTCACCCAGTCGCACTGCTTTCCTACAGAGGTGTCATACGCCGGGCTGTAGTCCAGACCAGCTGAGCTTGCAGCATTCGAAACGCTTGAGCCCACGTTCTCCCCGTGTGCGTATATGGTGGTTATGGAGATCTGCACAGCACACGATTGCGCACATTAGATACTTGACGAATGGTGTGCATCATCTGTAACAAGCAAGCCATCGACAGTAAGGCCGAAACTTGTTCAGATTGAGTAGCTAGAACCACAGGAAATCATCCCACTGTCTGAATCCCAAAATGCAGAGAGAATGAACTCACCTCGTCAAGATTCGCAGCGTCGGCGATGTCGTCCACGGTGACGGAGCAAGCGCCAAAGCACAGGAGGGACTCGGAGAGCAGTTCCTGGATTGATTGCGAGGACACATGAAACTTTTGTCAGGGGAAAAATGAGATAGAGGTTAGAAAGTAGTACTAGAAACTAGTGCTCTGAAGTAGAGGGGGGATACTGACGGCGTCCTCCTTGCGGCAGCGGATGCGGACGGAGAGGTAGGGCGCGGCCAGGTCGTCGTAGACGCTGCCGGCGGCAGAGCTGGAGGGCGCCTCGTCGTACACGCTGACGGCGCGGGGACAGAGGCTCCTGCCTCGCGAGGAGGCCCCTGCGGCCGGGAAGCCCTCGCCGACGCGGCACGCCGAGGGGCGAGCGGAGAGCATCAGGAGAAGGGGCGAGACGCCGCGGCGGCCTACGGTCGTGTAAGGGGAGCAGAGCGACAGAGCAAGGGGCGAGGAGAGCAGGAGGCGGTGGAGAGGGGCGCGCGCCAGCGGCAGCATCTCGGCGGCGGCGGCGGCTCAGTCGCCAAGAGCCGGAGCGGAACGAACGGTTCGGTGCGGTGCGCCCCAAGCGTAGAGCGCGGGTTCGGAGGAGCACGGCTGATTTTTGTTTTTTGGCGTGCTGCAAACGTGTGGTTTCAGTGGCTACAGTACAGCAGCAGAGGGCCCGTTTCAGTTTTCTGCCGTGGCCCTTTCTTTTGGTCAATTGTTCTACGTCGGCCGGTTTGGATCTTTTTGATGTAGTCTTTTCAGTTACGAAAGCAGAGAAAAAGCAAGAAAAACAATGCCGAAATGTAAATAATAAAAAAGAATAACAATGTGGATTTATGAAACCCTGTTATCTAAGCAACCTTGTGAGATACTTTCATAAATTATACTAAATCAGCGACACTTATTTTGAAACTGAGAGTATATTATGCCCAAGAAAAAAGAACTTGTGAGATACTCGTATATACCAGTAACAATTTAATATTACCTTCATTCCTAACTATAAGACGTTGAGGCAGTTTAAATTAGTCTACCCCTTTTAGGAATGGAGGCAGTAGTACTGAACAAGCAAAAAATGACTATGAAACTGGGATCAAAAGAAAGTGCCCTTCACCGGACGTGGAGTTTATATACCTGAGCTCATATGCTCCTGCTATGAACAGTAAAATAAATAAAATAGAAAAACAATTGTTACTTTCAAATGGACGTGGCATACTTTAAGAAATGTTTGTTGTGCATGCAAAATTTCGTTATGAAATGACATTGGTGGAAGGCATGGTAAAAAAACAAAAATGATACTCTGAAAATGTTACTTTCAAACGCATTTTGGAGCTTTGATTTTTTTTGCGACGACCTCCACCAATGTGATTTCGTAATGAAATTTTGCATGCACAATAAACATTTCTTAAAGTATGCCACAAAATAATTTCAGAATTTTTTGAAATATTTTTCTATTTTATTTATTTTCCTGTTCATAGCAGGAGCTTATGAGCTCAGATGTAGAAAGGTACTTTCACCCTTCACCTTTCTTCTGATTCACGTATGTGGCGTCCCTCTCGCGTCAGCGGAGGGTCTCTCCTCCCGTTCCAGGATCCGCGGCTATGCGGGCATCCTGATCCGTGGGGTGCGCCCCTCTCGACTGTAACGCCCCAGACACACCCGCCGGTGGTCGTTACTCCTGGCGGGATCTAGACTGGCCCCCCAGATCAATACTAGTCTTTTCTGTGCACTTTGTCCTCACTCGTGCGCACCTAGGAGTAACTTCCCGGTCGGTCACTCATCCTGAAATTACTCCAAGCTGAGCATGCTTAACTTTGGAGTTCTGTCCGAATTGGCTCCCGGAAAAGAAGGAATTCCTTATTGATATGAGTAGTCTATCATCCCTAATAAGCCAGGCCATCACATACACCCCCACTCAGAGGAACCGACGTCCTCGTCGGACCACAGGAACGTTCCCTCTTGGCACATACGTCTGTGCTTCCAGTCCGGCACATGTGCCATGCCGTGTGCCACGACGGGTCACAAACGTCATGCACAACATGACCGCACACCTGTCTGCAAACATCAGTGTAACCTCGAGGGTCGGCTCTGATACCAACTTGTAACGCCCCGGACACACCCGCCGGTGGTTGTTACTCCTGGCGGGATCTAGACTGGCCCCACAGATCAATACTAGTTTTTTCTGCGCACTTTGTCCCCACTCGTGCGCACCCAGGAGCAACTTCCCGGTCGGTCACCCATCCTGAAATTACTCCAAGATGAGCACGCTTAACTTTGGAGTTCTGTCCGAATGGGCTCCCAAAAAAGAAGGAATTCCTTATTGATATGAGTAGTCTATCATCCCTAATAAGCCAGGCTATCACATATAACACCGGTATGACGGATCGAATCGCTGACATTGTTGATTCTAGAAAAAAATGATTTGAGTCTTATAGGATTATATATATCGGAGAGTAGGATTCTTTTTACTCCTCAGTCCCTTCGTCGCTCTGTTGAGGCCTCCTGACG